TGAAGCCACATTCTGAGCATTAGTGATGTCCTGGGGAGATTAACTTAAAATCTGCCTGTTGGGGCACACACATCTCAGTTCCCAAAGGCTTGCCCTCACACAGCCAGCTATGGTTTAGTGGTTGTTGTCCCTGACTTAGGGAAGGCCACCAGAAGGAGGGAATTTGTCCACATCCTCCTGTGCCAACAAAGCAGGGCACCCATGTTTGTGCTCTTATCACACAAGAAAATTCAACCCTGCATACTTGCCAGATACAGAACACTTCTCCTAAAGGGCTCCTAAAGTGATTCACTGCCAGAATGAATGTCCTGGGACATTTGGAGTAGAGCAAAACCCCCAGGACTTGGCATCTGAGTCACTGGAAGTAGGAGCTGCCGAGGGTGGAGTTCAGGCCTCTGTGATACAGACAGTGCTGAGGGGTGACAGGGGATGGCAGTCCTGCCAGGAGCTCCCTGTCCCTCAGGTGGGATGCAGAGGGCTGCTCTGCTCCCTGGAGGCACCAACACCATGTGCAGAGTGATGCCATGCTGGGTTTGCAGCCCTGATCCAAACCTGTGGGAAAGTGGGTGAAAAGAACTGCCATGAAAGCCCCTGAGAACAGCATCAGGATTTCCCAGTAAACCCTTCTCTTTTACTGATTCACCACCATTTTTAAATGCAGGTTTTGAGCTTTCTTTGGAGTCTAATTAAGGCCCCAATCAGTTTACATGATGAAAAACTTTCCCGACAGCAGCATATCAAACACGCAGAAGCAACAGTTCTGCTCCTCTCAAAGCGAGCCCGACTCGCCTTTGCTCGTGTGAGGGCACCATGCTGAGTAAAAAGGAAAAATCACGTTCTTCATCAGCACTTCACAGTGAAATTTAAGTTGTCAGCTCCTCACGGGAAATCCTGATGCAACACCCAGGCCGTCCCTGTGAAGCGGAGCTTGGTGAATGTTTAATTACGCCTTGGAACAAACACACAGCGCTGCGTGGGGGCTGCGAGGAGCCATCTGAGCCTGCCTGCTAAGCTGCTCTGTCCCACAAGCAGCTCCTTCAATAGCGTTTGCTTATCAAAAATAATTAGAGGTAGGAATGCTGGAACTGCGATTATGAAACAAATGGTAAATCTATTTGCTGAGATGAAATGTATTGAAAGATACATCGAGACACAGCTGGAGACTGAGGTGATACCACAAGGATAACAACTCAAGATCCAATTTCATCTTTCATGATTAAAAAATGAGCAAGAAAGTGTTTTATGAAAAGTGAAGGTTAACAAATGTTCCTTCACAAGCAATGACGACAGTTTATCTTTTGAAACAAATGATCGGGCTGTGGTCTGCTCGCAGCTCCTGGAACACGCTGGAAGGATTTCTGCTGGAAACCCACTGGGGATCAGCACACAGGGCTGGCAGCCCACCCTGCTCCCAGGGCCTGGGACAAAGCCAGCTCCACAGGGACGCTGCCACAGCAGGGAAGGAGCTGGCACTGTCACTGTCCCAACCCTCTGCCACAAGCCCATCCCTAGCCCCAATCCCTGCCGTGGCTGTGGCTCATCAACATCTGCCCTCAGGAGGGTCCCAGAGCTGCAAACTGACAACAAAACATTCCAGGAGCCCTCTGACTGAATTCCTCCCACTGTTCTCCAGGTAAAGTGCTCCCTTTATGGAGCAACCACAGTGTGAAGCAGAACTCGTCAAAAAAGTTATTTTAAGGGATGAATTCTGCTAAATTTTGACTAGGAGACCAAACGCTGTGAGCTGTTTAACAAGGAGGAAAAAATGTGGGTAGAGACTCTAAAAACTACTAATGTGAAGGAATTATATAATGATGTGAATGGTTAATTCTCCAAGAAGAAAAATTCAAATTACCAGGAAGGAACAGACAGTAGAGAAGATCGTGATGGCAACTTTAGCTCCTTCTATTAATAGCACTAATAGTTAAAATGGAGAAAGAAAGAAATATTATGTGTAGAAGCCAATACAAGATGTTTTAAAGTAAAAAAAAAAAAGCTTTATACTTCTATAAATGTGGAACGGTGTAGCATTGCCCTTATTCCTATCCTCAGAGCCTGAAAAGGTTCCTTAGCATCAGGGGGGAACAGACCCCAGGAGTTCAGCAGAACCCCTCAAAAAACCCCAGTATAAACTAAATTTACTTATTTGTAAGAACACAAGCCATGATAGCTGTAAAGCTGCCTAAACAGCTGAAGGCTAATTAACAGTGCTGTTACAGAATTAATGTTATTCCTTCCTAGCTGAGTCTTCAACAAATTTTCCAGGATATGACAACTCTACTGTTCTTCCCAACAAAAAACAGTCAAAGCTCCAATACCCTAAATTCATATAGAGGTAAAATTCTTAATGTACAGGTCACATAAGTCTTCACAGTTTAACCATGAGGCACAAATAGCAACAAACTCCCCTCCTGTCAGGCCAGGAACTATTCCAACCTTAAAAAGGGAGACAGAGGCGTTACAAGGCACCTTCCAGGCACAGAAGTTTGTTCCACAGACCACATTTAACTGGTGCTGGGACAGAAGCTGCATGGCCATGGTCAAACACAAGTCTCAATTTTGCCTTCCATGGTTCATGTCATGGATTGTCCTCTCTTCACAAAGCTGGGACATGGGCCACTTCTTGGAGTCAGCAATGCCTGGCTTCTTTTCCATCTCCAGCACAGGCTTCTGGTGTGCCCCAGAAAATTCACATCATCTAGGGGCCAGTGGGAAAATCACAAGCTTTTTCACCTCAAAGCAGCATTCTAGGGATAAACCAAGGAAACAAAGAAAGTGCTCTACAACTCCAGTGGTAAAAAGGTCCTTCTGAACCTAACAGCATCAATACTGCTGTCCTTTGGCACTTTAACATGTCTGATTTGATGCCACACATTATTTTTGTTATGAAACTAGACTAAACCAAAATCAATATGGTGCTTATTAAATGGACAAAACATGGGGTAGCTCACAGGTCTCAAAAAGCAAATGTAAATTGGAAACACTGTGCAGCTCAGTATTTCTAGCAGGGTTCTGCTAGAAATATACGGAATAAAGAAACATACGGAATAAAGCTGAATATCTATCTTCAGGGTCAAATTAAAAAAAAATCACAAACACAACACTTTTTCAAGACCACAAATGACAAAGTCAAGTGATAAATAATGAAGTGGAGGATGACAGATGGAGAGACCTAGATCACTTGGCAAGCTGGGTGCAAACAAGATAAAGAAAAGATAATGAATAGAAGATAAAGTACAAACAAATACTTCCGAAAATAATGCAGCTGGTCTTCCTGGAAAGAAAACTATTCCTGGAAGTAGCTCTCCTGAGAGATTTTAGGGGTCCCTGTGATAATATCTAGCATGACCCAATTGTGATACTGTGATGAAAGGCTTCCTCAAAAAGGGAAGATAAGAACTAAAACAATCTTCACTGATGCATCAGAATTATGTCCACAACACACAAAGAGTATAGCTGAGCTGAAAGAGAACAACCAAAATGCTAATTTGGAGGTGGAAATCTATGTGTTGAATTTGAACTTTCTGGAGCTCATTTTTTTAGCTTAGCATAGACAGGGTTAAGGATGCTTCCACAGAGTAAGTGACTTGTGACATTAGTAAATACTCAGTTATGAGGAAGGTACAAAAATTATTTTATTATAGAGAAGACAGTTAACTTTTCTTTCACACTCTTTCCATTTTTTTCAAAGCCTGCTTATCTTGTCTTTTCCACCTCAATGTGTTCACCCTTACCCAAACTCCTCCTTCCTCACTGAGATTTGGGGACACACTCCACCTAACCAGATATAGAGCTGCAAGTGCTGCCTGTGTGGCAGAATTTCAGCTGAGATATTTCATGTGTGCCCTGAAGAGTTTCAGCTCTGAAACCCTCCTGTGGGCAGGATGCTCTTGTGCACTGCTGGGCTGAAGGGCAAGGTTACAGCTCCCACATGGCACATGATAGACTCAGTCCTTCTGTTTGGCTCAGCACTTAATCTCTCATCTTTAGAAGGAGAAACTTGTTTGTTCAAGTTTACTAAGGAAATATTTACTGAAGACTTTCAGAAATATGTTTTACATTGAAACACATGAAGCATCTGAGCACTGACACTAATCTGGGCAGCCTCTGACACTGCAAGGTTAGAAGGCATTTTACCTCCCTATCTTACTTGTTTTGGGCTTGTTTTGCTTCAGATGTTTTACTGGTTGAGCTTGCCTGGGAAATGCTATCAGTGCTTGAGGAAAAATGAAAGAAAACACACACATTAGCTGGAGATCAAGTACATTCTTCCAAAGGAAAAACAAAGCAAAAGTCTGAGTGTTTTGCAGTGTGACCCTCATAATAATGTTTGCATTAGGCCTGCTGTCTTATTAATATTCATTTATGTTTGCATAAAGTATTTTGCACAAAACCCCCATACACATCAGGCAAAAAATCCCATGCGTTGTTATGTATTGCAGACACACACTGACAGAATGGTTCTAACTCCAAGCTAGTGATTGCCTCTGCTGATTTCCTCAGACAAAAACATTTTTTGAAGTTAATCCGCAATTTTTGAGTTTTGCTCTGTTTAGTTAGGAAAGAGACAAGAGCCCCTTGGGAGCAACCCTACTCAAGACTAGACTTCTGTCTAAAAGCTATGACTGAAAAAGAAAAGGTAAAGGTTTGGTCAGGTCTCAGTCAATATGCAGGAGTATTGCATCAGCGATATCCAAGGAGAAGTAAATTTTTTCCTAATTTACTCAGCAAGCAGAGTTTGTTCTTGTTGGTCCATAACAATAATAAAAATTTATGGCCTTCGTCTTGTATCTTCACCTAAAAGCAGGATTTCACCTCTCAGACTACTAAATAGGCTAAGTGCAAATAAAAAGCCCTGCCCAGACAGTGGAAGGAGCTCCAGTCTCCTCTGGGCAAGGCTGGCCATGCACAAGCACAGTTTTTACATTTTCAGGAAGCCAGAGAGCCAGCAGCACGCCGAGAGGCTTGGGGAAGAGCCCACAGTACGTCCCTCTATTTACCTCAGGTAATCTCTGCGGCAGAGAATGAGATTTGCTTTTGTGTAAAGAGTTGATCCAACCTCTCCAAGACGGCAGTCACAGCAGGCACACTTTAGGCAGTCTTCATGCCAGTACTTATCCAGAGCCTTCAGCAGGTACCGGTCCTTGATCTTGCGGTTGCAGCCAGCGCAGCCCTTCTGCTTCCCCTTGGGCTGCACGGAGAGCATCGGCACGCCTGCAAGGCAAACACAGCACTTCCTTCAGAGCACGGCTGGGGCAAACACTGCTGCTGCTGCCGTTACAAGGAGCTCACAGGCAAAGGAAGCTCACATTCATGGAGCTGACAGTCAAAGGAATCCCAACTTCATCTGCTGTCGCAGGCTAACAGAGAGTGCGACACTTGCAGCCCTTTTTTCCTAAGGGCAGGACGGACACAACGCACCAGACTCTTTCTAACCAACATCTTGCAGCAGAATAAACTGGCTGAAATTTCAACATGTATTTTTTCCCCTCATTACCCACACCCTTGTGTTGTTAATTACCTGCCACAGGCAATTAAAAAGAGCAGAAGGGCCATCATGGTATGTGCCCCCCTGGTTCAGCATCTGAGTCGAGTTTGATGGGGAAGGGAGAGGAGTGGGTATAAAAAGATGTGGTATGCCACTGTTTTGCCTCTCCTGTGAATCCTCCTGACAGAGGCCTGACTGAAAGCCAGACCAGGCCAGGGGCTGCTCCAAAATAAATTTGATTCAAAAGCCCTTGAAAACTGCTGAGAATAACCCCACCAGCACCCCTCTGCCAGTAATGAAGCCACATTCCTTAAGCAAAGCAGAGCTTTCCTCCTCCTCTTGCATCACTGGAGAAGGTAGCACAAAGCCAGGAGTTTTCTCCTTCCTGGAAACCCCTGCTGGAGCTGCAAAGCAGCCATGAGATAGCTGGGTATGAGGTGGTGACAGCACACTCAGCTCAGGAGGCTTGGGGGGACTTGCTGTGGTCCCCTTCCCCTCAGTGCTGTGTCCAACTTCTTCCTTTTCTCCAAGCAGCCATTGCCTGCCATGGTGAGCACTGTGATGCTCATCACCCTTCTCAGTTTGAGAGCCAGGCAGGAATGGACTTTGTGGAATCAACAGTCAAGGTGGAAAAATAAACAAAGATTGTACTGCGGGTGAGGGACAGGACAGGAAATGATGAAAGAAGAAATTAACTCACTGAGACACCAGAATTCGTTATGATTTTTATTTTTACTGGTGTCAGTCACTAAAAATGACAATGCTGGGCCTGTAACAAGCACACTGTGGGCTTAACCAATGCAGAGATGATGAGAAGGGACACTGTGGCACAGCAGCAGGTGTCACTGGTTATATACTCTTACACAAAGTTAATCCACCCTTTCTGCAGGAAGCGCTGGATGTCCCAGAAAGCAGCAGCTTGATAATAGAATTATTAACAGTCCCTTAAGCAGAGAGGACCCAGCCAGTGCCACTGCAGTAAGTGACATTTCCTGCTCTCCTTAAAAGCCAGGGTGACCTGAGAGTGGCTAATGGTCAGCACATGTAAACCCACCACTCCCACAGTAATAATTGCTTTGTCAGAGCCCGAGCAGACGACAATGGCACTTAAGACACCTCCACACAAACAGCGAGGTATTGATCCATCTGTAATCAAAGTGGTCTCAGCAGCACAGAGACAGGCCAAGTAACATTCAAAAACCCTTAAAGAACCCTCCTGCCCTCTGCTGCAGCACACTCAAAACCCAAGTCTCTACAAGCAAACTTTTGACACCAGTGACAAATCTGCAGTTATTAAGTGAAAATCTGTATCTGTATTAGACTGGCCGCATATGCAATCTGTAACACTCCCAATAGAAATTCTACAAAGCCACAGATAAACACACTCACATTTGGAAAGAGGGACAAGACAGGGAAGCATCAGAAGTGGATTATGCTGCAGGTCAGACTGCACAAGTCCCATGTGCCTGGTGAGAGTTTCTTACAAGAATGAGGGAAGTGGCCCTGTGGTTCTAGACACACCTTTGTTTGTTTGAGTTTTTTAATCCAAAATACTTCTCGATAGCAAAAAGAAGCTTCCATTTTGAAGTAATTTCCATGCTCTTCCCGACTCCACTCCAGGAAAACTGCACATTGTGAGAAGAGTCTGCCTTGTTGTGAGGCAGAGAAGGGCGAGCATGTGAATTTGCATTTGCAAGCTGTGTAAGATCAGTACCAGTGATGAAAGAAAATAGTTCGCACCTATGAAAACCAGGACCTAGATGTGAGAATTATGTTTTTAGATAGGAGCCCCAGACACCAGCAAGTCATTACTCAACCCCTAAACAGGCTCTCTAAATGTGTACCCTTAGAGGCAGAGGAGGATTTCTCACAAGAAGGGGGGTCACCATACAATCCTTTTGCAAGGTTTGTGTAGGTAACACGAGGATCCTGCATCTGGAAAGACGCAGATTCCACATAACCAGCACACCTTAAACTCAAGAGAGCTGCTGCATGGATGGGGATTGAGATCAGCTCTGTGGTTCAGAAACACATGATCCTCAGCCAGATGGGACTTCCCAAGGCCTCACTTTTGAAAGTAGTGCCCTTTCAGAGGTCCAGCTGCCCTCACCCAGAGAGAGGGTGCCAATGCAGCAGCAGCACCAAGCACAAGGGCAGCTGTGCAGGGATGCTACCCTGGCTGGACCATTAGGAGAGGCTGGTTTGATCATTTAGGGCAGGTAGGGAGGGTCTCCTGTGGCAAGCAGGCCTGGAAGGCTGAGGGCTGACTGCAGGGGCAGTTTTGTTCCATCTGTGGCCCTGGCAGCCATCTGAGCTCCTCGCTATTGCAAGAGCACCACTGTCTTATGAGAGCCTTCTGCAAGTAAGAGGAACGTAACACTTTGATTTGCTTCTAATAACTAGCAAAGGAACAGATATAGATATATTTTTAAGCAGTACCTTAAGCAAGGAAAAAAGCCATGTATTTGGTCAGCGTTCAGCAGGGGGCTTTCTAATGAAAAAAGGTACCATTTCAGAGATCATATGATGTTCAAAGCTGCTATTCCCACTCAGATAATAACGAGCAAGGTCAGCCTCTGCTGGTCAGGTTCAGTGTTTTGAAATTACATTTTGGGCTGTGAGGTTTCCCTCCGACATCCAACCAACCAGTCTGCACGGAGCACACAAGCCACTACAGAAAGTTGCAGCTGCAATTAGCTGGTGAGTTGACACAGCAGGCAAGGCGTGAAACAAAATTTCAAAAACTGCCAAACTTGATCAGCAAGGGTTCCTCAAACACTTGCCATGTCATTTCCAAGCAACAAGAGAGAAGCATCTCAGAAGCTTAACCCTTTTCACAGTTAGAGGCTTGCACAGAGAGGACACAATCAACACCAAACCCTGCTTTCCTCCTCCTGCCTCCCCCTTCCAGCAGACCTGAAGCAGCCTGGGCTCTGCAGGCACAAACCACCTGGAGAACTGCTCTTTCTTTTTAGTCATTTCCCCACTGCAAGACTGGGATGTTGCTTCATTTCTCTATGTCCATTTCCTCCCAGTACTTGCCTAGAAATGCCAAGATATCCAGTTCAATTTGATAAGGGACATGTGGTGTCTAACTGGGGCTGTCAAGAAACAAAGGGGTCACCTTTGACAAATCCCACACGTGCTCTGTGGATGAGGATAAGAAAATGAGGAGGAGTGTTGCAGAACTAGAAAAATTAACAGCTGGACACTCACATATTTAAATATGTGATCACAAGGGAACACTGATTATTGCCAGATTCTGAAAGTACCATCAAGTTGCTCTCTTCTCTCCTGTTGCTAGACATCCAGTGCTCTCTTTTCTTAGAAACAGTAGATGAAGCCTTTCTATTTCTGGCTACCTACACTCCGTTCTTTGCCCTTTACAGCTTAATAGACTTGCTGCTGGTAAATACAAAACTAAACCCGCTCTGAGTGCTCAGAGCTCCAATACACATTAAAAAATTATAGACACCACCTCTGGACTTACTGAAATTTATGTCTGTGTCTAAAGAGGCTGTTATTGTAGTGAGTAATCCAAACTTTACCACTATTCACAGCCGGACAAACAAGCTTTAATCAGCCCGTATCTGCTCAGTCGGAGTCTTTCTGTAAAATGATTCAGCTGGCTTTATAACACAAGTGTCCACTAAGTACACCTCTAAATTTTTCTAAGCCATTTTACTGATATTTCTATTCACATGGCAATCAGCTGCAGTTCCTCTAAGGGCACTGTTCATAAAGCCTCCTTTCCAAGAGAGCCTGGGAACTTTTCATAAATGGCAGACCTTTTAAATAACAGTTATCTGCACTGGTCCTACGGCGCACGGCTCCACAGTGCTGTGGTCTGCAGCAGAGCTAGAGGTCCCCTCTGAAAGCAGGGAAGTTCACCACCTAATTTCTCTAATGCAACTCTAAAGGTTAATTGGTCTGAAAGAGTAATGGGGGACTGCTAGCTAATGATATATGCCTCAAGGCTTTGCAGCTTGCCTGTATTTTATACAGTTGAGTCCAGAGCATAAAACACAGGTGATATCACCAGGACTTTTCAGACCCCCTCCACTGCAAGTTGCCCCCCTCAGCTACACCCACATGTGTGGGGAGAAGGCAGCAGGAGCTGGAGGCAGCAGCTCTGTTCCACCTGCATTTCATGGCTTGTTAGAGGGGGCTCGGAGAAGTGTGTGGCTGCACTCCTCATTACCTCTGCGGAGAACTAAAAACAACCCTAATGAGGAGAGCCAGAGCGTACAGTACGGGCTGGGAGGAGGCACCTCCTCCCACTCTCCCCAAGGAACCCGGCCAAAATCTTCAATTTGCCATTTATGACAGCTAATTAGTTATTCTATTCAAAATCTTTGCTTTAAATAAAAGAACTAATTATACACAAAGGTCAGTTCCCCACCTCCTGTGAAGCACACATAATTGGCTTATTTGCCCAACATTGTGTGTATGTTTTACACAATGCTTTCAGGCAGATGGCTTTAACTCTTTCCCTCGACAAATTTTTTGGTGTTGGCTTTTTTGTTGTTGCTGGGGCTTTTGTTTGTTTGTTTGTGTTTGTTTGGGTTTTTTCCTTGTTGCTGTTATTTTTTCTTTTTTTAAGACCCCAAAACCTTTCCTCAGAGTACCTACTTTAAGAGTGAAAGCTTGTTCAACAACAAAGCAAATAACTATGCACACACACACACAATACTTCTACTCTGCAAAAGGCTTGTGACAATCACTC